AGACTAGCCAGTGTGATATACCCATTCTGGAAACATAGATTAATAATTGCATGAGGGAATCGTTTGATAATTTCAGGAAATTGTGTAGTTTGCCAAGTTGAGGTCCTAACTAATTAGAATTTTCTGTGAATCCAAGCACATGCTTACCTGACTTTTATTTAAGACTTAGGAGTCTTCTCCCAGAGTCCATGGTGCTCATGCATCTTGGGCTCCTGGTCCCTTGACTATGGTGGTTGGGTTCCTCATGCCATGAGAAAATGAGGTGAAAGGTCCCAAAGACCTATAGAAGAGGAAGAGTTGAAAAATCCAATGACACAAGAAGGATTGTAGATTAGGTTCTTAGATTTGTAAATGAACTTTAGACATCATTGAATCCAGTCCTCTTATTTTCCGTATGAGTGAACTGAGGCTCAGACAAAATAAGTGACTTGTCCAGGGTCACATATCTCTGATGTGGGATTCAAACCTAGGTCTGCCTGACTCCAAGTCCAGCCCTCGGTCCCTGGCAACATTGGGAACAGTATGGAAAAGCACTTGGATTGGAGCTAGTAGCAAAACTACAAGAGACTGAAGACATGCTGAAGAGAATGAAGAATGGCAGGAATGTTAGAGTGGAGAATCATGGCTGTGATCTTGAAGTAAGGCCATTGGATTGACCTTGGATGTGAGAGGTTAATGAGCGATCATGTGCATTGGATGTGCACAATAAAGGAGGTTTAAAGCTTTGGAACCTTGAGCCTGTACTAGGAATATAATGCATAGGATGCGCTGTCCTGGTTGGCTCCTCCATATACCACCTGGTCATGGCTGCAGTCTGGTTTTGGTCTTGTATCGTCTTAGTGTCATGGAGGAGAAGTAATGGCTAATTCGTACTTTGAGATGTCCTTGTTGAACTGGAAAAAGTAGATGCCCATTGATTTGGGAATGGCTAAACAAGTTGTGGTAAATGAACATATGGAATAGTATGGCACCCAAGGAAATGATGGCTCTGAAGAATTCAGAGATGTACGGGAAGATAGTGAGCTGATAGAAAATGAGGTATGACAGAACCAGGAGAAAATAACATACATAGAAATGATAGCATCATAAATGATGGAACCAAAGTTAATCCTCATGATTATAGTACCAAGATAGTCTTTAGAGTGAAAATGAGAAATCACATCTCCTTTCCTAATCTGTAGAGGGGAGTGACCATGGGTATAGAACACAACACATACACTGGCAGACCTGGCTGATGCAGTATTGTTTTGCTCGGTTGTTGTTTTTTCCCTTTTTCTGCTTCATTTTTTGTTACAAAGGAAGGCTCACTAGGTGAGGTTGGGCAGGGGAAGGGTTATATTCTGAATTAAAGGGAATGTGAGGACAAAAGATATTAATAAAAATTAACAATTTAAAAAATAAAGAGGAACTTAGAACCCCACCCCTGGAGGGAAAAAAAAGTCCTCTTTCATCAGCCATTAATAGGCTAATGTCCAGAAAATGGGAATAGGTTACCAAATTCACTTTTAGTGAAAATAATGATTCTGTGGTTGGTGTCTAACCTGGGCCCCATCAAGGCTAATCATTTCTTTAGTCAACAATTTGTCTTAAAGTCAACAGGTCTCCCAAAATGTGTTTAAATTTAATACTTTTAAGCAAGAAAAGTAAGATCCCAGATCATCAACCTTCCAATTCATTCATGCTCAGCTGTCAGTATTTTTCATATATAGGTCATACATACATGAATGCGCTAGATATAGAGGACGATGGTCCTAGTTGTATAATAGTGGACTTTTTTCTTTTTGGTCAGGCAATGGGGTTAAGTGACTTGCCCAGGGTCTCATAGCTAGTAAGTGTTATGTGTCTGAGGCCAGATTTGAACTCAGGTCTTCTGATTCCAGGGCCGATGCTCTATCCACTGTGCCACCTGGCTGCCCCTGGACTTTCATTCATATACTAAATGGCATGTTCCAAGAAAAGAGAGATCATAATAGTAAATGTTTGTGCAGGACTCACTGTAAGCCAGGCACAGTGCCAAGAACCTTACAATTATTATCTCATTTCATCCTTACATCAACCCTAGGAGATAAGTGTTATTATTAACCCCTTTTTACAAATAAGGAAACTGAGGCAGACAGAGGCCAAGTGATTTCCTCAGAGTCACACAGCTAGGAAGTGTCTGAGGTGGGATTTGAACTCAGGTCTTCCTGACTCCAGACTCAGCACTCTCTCCACTGTACCATTAGCTTCCCATTTCACCCTTATATTTTCTCCTGTGCCTAATGCAGTTCACCTAACATTTTGCATGTAGCAGCCTTAAAAAAATATTATATATATATATATATGTATATATATATATATATATGTATATATATGTATGTGTATATATACATATATGCATATGTATACATATATATGTATATATATGTATGTGTATATATACATATATGCATATGTATACACATTTGTACATGTATATATGTATCTCTGTACCTGTATATATTTTGTTATTGTTATTCAGTTGTTTCAGTCGTGTCTGACTCTCCATGACCCCATTTGGGGTTTTCTTGGCAAAGACACTGCAGTGGTTTGCTGCTTCCTTCTCTAGCTCATTTTACAGATGAGAAAACTGAGACAAACAAGGTTAAATGAGTTGCCCAGGGCCACTCTGCTAGTAAGTGTCTGAGGCTGGATTTGAACTCACGAAGATGAATCTTCCTGGTTTCCAGCCTATACATCTATGTGTGTATGTGTGTGCTTATATGTATACACATATACACATATACATGTGTATTCTCGCCATATATATTTTTATATGGATATATAAATTGAGACATGTAGGATCAATTGAACAAATATTTATTAAATGTGGTCTCTCGGTCTCTAGAGAGACCACATTTAATAAATGTTTGTTCAATTGATCTCAGACCTCTCCATTTATATTTGAAAGCTGACATTAATGGGTCCGTGTATTTGCAAAATCAACTATTTGTTGAGCAACATTGAGGTGCCTCATCATGAAACATTCACTCACTAATATCTTCACCTATAAAGACGTAATTGGTTAGCAGTACATCCACCTGCCCCCTTGTTGCCACACACAATCTCTAGTAATATGTGCCCAGCTCTGTGTTTCAAGGTTAACAAGAACTGCACAATTTATTTAAGTAATTGGGCACAGTGGAAGGAGTCAGGAAGACATGGATTCAGGTCCCACATCTGCCAATAGCAGTGAGATTCCTGGTCAAGAAGCTCCCTCTCTGTGCATTCCAGTGTCATCACCTGCAAAATGGGAATGATAATAGCCGCTGCTTCACAGAGTCATTGTGGGGATCAAATGAAATAATGTTATCAAAAGCATTTTGCTAAATTCAAAGTACTTTAGAGATGCCAGCCGTTTTCTTCAGGGCAAGTAAGTATGTCTCTTCTCAAGCTTCTAGGCCATCTTCTCCCATCTCTACCTGGTGCAGAACATACCTACCGGCCATAGAATGGTATATAGGTGGAAGTTTCTCACTGGGAGCTCCCTCCATCAGTGAAGTCACAGGGCTTGTTGTAGTCATTGTCATCGTCGTCGTCGTCGTCGTCGTCATCATCATCATCATCATCACCATCGTTATTATTATTATGAAGATCAAAGATCTTAATACGGAAGCCACTGATCCCCAAGAAGTCTGTGAATAAATTTCTGTAGACCTTTATTTCAATGTAATAATTTCTTTTATAATTCTCTGTTACATTTTATGCACTCAACACATTATTCTGAGAAAGGTTCCATAGGCTTCACCAGCCTACCAACCAGCTCCGTGATACACACAAAGTTAGGAGCCCCAATGGAGAAAAGATCAGACAATGTTCTGGGAATCTCCCGAGAGACAAATATAGACGGTGTATAATTGTTTATAATCTCTGCTTTTGTCAAACCAGAAGGGAATTACAAATATTATAGGACCATAGGATCATGGGTTAGAACTAGAAGGGACCAGAGAGATCATTTCTTTTCAGTCTTTCATTTTTATTTATGAGGAAACTGAGACCCAGAGAAGTAAACTGACTAGCCCAAGTTCAAATAAGGGAGTGGGTGGCAAAGCCAGGGTTCACATCATGTCCTATGACTCACCACATGAGTCCATCAGTCTTGACACTGGACCATCCTCTTAGGATTTATTGAATGGACCCACACCATTTTTTCTGGCCCTTTTTTTTTATAGCCAGGTGCTAATTAGTATGAATCATGAATTTTGGAAAATGATCGCATGATTCAAATTCTCACTGTTCGTATTCTGAAAATGAACAGAATTTTGATTATATCCATGACACTTCAACACCTCCTTCCGCGTTTGCCGTGACTCATGGCCTACTGTGACATGTTTAAAAATGGCTGCTCCAAGAGGCACCATCACCAGCACACAAGGGTTGCCTTTGAAGCCTTGGCAAGTGACATTCTTCTCCTAACTGACCTGGAAGCCAGGGCTACTGCTCCACTAAATAAGTGCCACGTGGCATCCCCCCCTTTTCCTTTTGGGGAATGTTTCCCATAAAGAAAGATTACTCTTAAAAAAATGCCCCAGCCCCTCTTTGCGATTCTCTATTGATAGAGAAGGTCATCGCAGCCTTTCAGGCCCCCTTGGGGTGGGAGCAACATTGAGTTTTTTCTTTTCCTTGGGACTCCCTCCAAATGGATTGTACACTGTGTTGGTGCATACATGTAAAAAGGTGACTAATTAAAATTCAAATGTAATGAGATGAAGTTGAGGGTTCCAGCCCAGCTGCCTTTGTTTTAGTCCCTGCATGCTGCCTGAACCTAAACAATGTGGCTCTCATCCCGCCTTCTGAATTCAACATGTCTAGCTGAAGAGGAAAGACATCTTTTTCTAATCCATCCCAGAAAAGAAATGCAGGCCATTTGGGTTTTCCAGTGTAATTTCTTTATGTTCGGATGGGGTTGTATGTGAAATCTTGCCTTTTTTTTTTTTTGGTAGATTCTCACTGAAACATGCAAATGTGTCTCTATCACCTAGGTAACTATTATGGGACACCCAAACCTCCCAGCCAACCCGTCAGTGGGAAAGTGATTCCCACTGATGCTTTGCACAACCTTCAAACGGTCTCCAAGCAGTCAACCCCGAAACGCACCAAGTCCTACAATGATATGCAAAATGCTGGCATAGTACACACGGAAAATGACGATGAAGATGACGTCCCTGAAATGAACAGTAGCTTGACAGGTAAAGGGGAGAGTGTCTCTTTCTGGAGGGGAGTTGGGGGCTGGGGAGTAGGGCAGGAGAGGCTGGCTCTTTCTTGGAACTTCCCTGTAGGGATCTGGCAGAGATATCAGAGTTCTCAGTCTAACCACATTATTTTCTTTTTCACAGGCTACACATTATTCTCCCCACATCATTTTATTCAGTTTCTGTCCTATCTAGTTTTTTTTTTAAAGAAGCCTGAAAAATGTGTTGCAGAAGGCGCATGTTGAATAACCTTCATCACCTCTCTTTTCTCTTCTTTAAAAACACTACCCATGGGTTATCATTATTATTGTCATTATTACTGTTATTATTATTGTTATCATAATCATAATCATCATCTTCATCATTATTATTTGTCTCAAAGCTATCCACAGATGCCAGTAGTCTCTTATGGAAAGAATAATAGCTTTCATTTGACAGCTTAATATCAAATTCCACTTTATTGACAAGAACATCTTATCTTTTTGAAGCAAACCACCATGAATGAAGATAGATTATGAGAAAAATTGGAATGTCATATTGGCTCTTAAGTTTTCACCATGCTTAAATATTTCTTAAATATTTTTTAACAGTAGTCATTATCCCATCTGTCAACATATGAGGCAACCGTCTGTCATGGCGGCTGGCTTCGTAATGTGACTATGCTCCCATTATTTCTGCCATTACATGCTCCGTATCCCCTCCTCCCCCAAAGGAACATATTAAAGCATTAAAGAGATTTTGTTTTGCCACAAGAGATATTTGAGGATTGGAGGGAACTGTGGGGTAGGTGAGAATGTATCATTACAAACCACAGGCTGATAATATGGACATCTGTGTGATTTTTTTCATGTTTGTCAACTAAATTTCCTGATGATGATACCAGTTTGAGTTGGCAAGAGTCAACAGTACTCACAAGGTATCTGGCATCCTTTTTATGCCTCTGTACTGAGATGAGTTGAATGGTTTCAAACCATTGCTCTATTGGCAGAACCCCTAAACTTAAGGATAAAGAAAGCTTTAACAAGTTTCCTTAGATAGACCCATTGTTCTGTCAGTCAATATGAGGCCTCCTTTCACTGGTGAAGATGGCGAGTCATTTTCTGTTTCTTATCCCATGCATTTTTTTGTCCATGTTCTTCAATCATTACACTGTAAAGGCAGGGGAGTAGGGAACAAGGGAGGATGTCTATGAAACCTGCTAAAGGCATTCCTCCCATATTCAACAGATGCAAGAAGCAAAGAGGCAAATTTAGGCTTGGAACAAGGCAGACTTTCTAACATTTTGTTGTTTAAAACCAGAAATGGCTTCCTCAGGAAGTCACAAGTCCCCTGTCACTTGAGATCTTCAAAATATGGCTGAATTGACCAACTGTTCCCTATATATTTTGTTGAGAGAATTCTTATTCAGGTACATTTGGCCTGGGCTCAGCTGGGTGGTACAGTGGGTAGAGAACCAGACCTGGAGTCTTCCTGACTGATGAAGACGAGTTCAGTCCAGCCTCACACACTACTAGCTGTGTGATCCTGGGCAAGTCACTTAACCTTGTTTGCTTTAGTTTCCTCATGTTTAAAAAATGAGCTGGAAAAGGAAATGGTGAACCACTCTGGTTTCCTTGCCAAGAAGACCCCAAGTAGGGTCACGAAGAGTCGGACAGGACTGAAAAGTGGCTGAACAAGAACACATTTGGCCTAAGTGGCCATTGAGATCTTTGCCACCTCTGAGCCTCTGTGACTGACCAGTTCTTTGGACATGCTGTGGCTCTCAGAGCAGTCCTTGGGCTTGCTGTCTGTTGTCTCTCACTAGAGCCATGTGACTGACCCACACACTCTTGCTCATGCTCAGGCCATGTCTTGATGATATTTTTGATGCCACTTCTTACATTCAAGAGAATAGGCTGCCCTCTATCCCCACGTAACAGGCTCCTTTCCATTGGCTTTGCTGACTATCCCTGTGCTTTTCCAAACCAAAACACCCTGACCACCACTTCTGTTTGTATCCCCGGTGACTGGCTTACAGTGAACAATTAACAAGTGTTTTTTCATTCATTCATTCAGTCAGTCAGTCATTCTTTGTCCAAGACAGTTTCCATGAGGGTGAAAGACAGTATAGCATAATGGATAGGGAACTTTCATGGAGGTTGGGGTTGTAATCCTGATTCAAACTGGCTGTGTAACTGTGGGAAAGTCGTGTCTCTTTTATGTGCCTCAGTTTCCTCAATTATAAAATAATGGGTTAGACTTGATGGCCTGGTGATACCTTCTAGCTCTATATGTCTATGTTCTTATAATGTATGATCCCACAATGCTGACAAAATTTTGGCAAGCAGCCTGCCATAGTGGATGGAGAACTGGGCTTGGAATCAAGATCTGCTCCTGGCACGTACTGGAGTATGACTCTGGGAAAGTCACTTCGCCTCTCAGTGACCCAGGCAACTCTCTGAGACTAGAAGCTGCAGAGCAGGTAGAAATCTACACTGGTCATAGGAGTTTCCTCACTGGGAGTACCTCTGACCAATGAAATCACAGATGTGTACCCAAAAAACCCAAAACATCTCCTGTCCTGTTAACTGTTTATTTCTTGTTTGTTAAACCACTTTCATTTTTACTTTCATTTTTGCTCAATTAGCATCACCCAACTGTGTTCTTGGAGAAAAGTATTCATGATATACAAGTATGAGAGTCACCTAACCAAGCAAAATACTAATCAATTGGCTAATTGATCTACACATGCTTAGGAACATCTCCACACAGAAGCATTCTGTCCAATATACCTCCACTGTGCATTTGCATTCTAGGCACTGAGCATCCAGGTCTAGGATTTGAAAATCATGGCAGTTAGGGTCTTCATAGGATAGCGCTACAATTTCATCTCTCCAGAAGACCTTGGCTTAGCAGAAGCACATCTCTTCATCATGGTCTGTTTATTCTCATCTTGATGACTATGAGATGAGATGACCAAGTGCCCCTCAAAGTGACTTTTGTCCCTTGGGGCACAAATGAAACCAACTCAGCTAAATCGTTTACTCACCTCTCCAAGAAAAACCTGTTGGTCCTCCTTCCATTGAGCTGCCAGTTCTTTGATCCATCATTTATAGTGAGACTGTCACTCTAGATATGATTCAGTTAGTCTAGCAGAGGCCATCAGAGAAGGATCTCAAATTTCTGCAATTAGTTTCATATTTATTAGATAGTCTGATAGCTACGTGACTCTTGGCCTGTGACTCCTTTTCCACTGCTGTCACCATAGAATTGGAAGGAGATCTGTTAGATCTATGTTTTAGATCTCGTTAGATCTATGATTTAGCTCACTGTCTGGCACATAGTAGGTGCTGTATAAATACTTGTTGACTTGATTTGATTTTTCGCCCATTACTGTGGCCAGCCTTCCAAGGATGCCCCATTCTCTGGAATTAGCTTAGCTCAGATAGCAGATTGAGCTGGTCATTAGTAACATATTCAAAGTTAATTCAGCAAAAAAGGTCTTGGGTTCCATTGGCAGAGCCCCTAGGTTCTGTAGTCACCTCCTGCAGAGTTGTTGAAGTAGGAACTCATTCATTCGCAGAGTGGGACCATTCAGTTATGTACAGCAGAGTCCCTATCCAGCCTTAGCCTGTATCATCATTTTGTTTGATATTGTTTCTTTCATGGAACCAATTAATGAGAAGCAGTGTGTTCCATTTAAAGAGTTGGACGTGACTGAAAAATGACTAAACAGCAATATATTACTGTATTCTTATTACTCAGGTATCTTCATCCCCCTCCTACATGGAATGCCAAATAAACCACCCTCAAATTCAAGGGCACATTTGGGGATGCCAACAATCGGTCATCACCTGGCATCAAACAAAATGCCTGTAGAATGATTGGTGCTATACAGCCGTTGGAATGTGGGTGTGATTAAGCTCTTCTATAGACATCACATTCATTGCCAGATGCATTTGGGGGAGTTGCATATGGAAACCATGTTGATCCTCATGTGAAGTCCTAGGCATCATCATTATGGCAGCTCCATTTTCCAATCTTTCTGCTACCACTCAAGGCAATAAAATGCCTAAAGTATAGATAGAACTGTAGGGAAGGACCAGCACACTAACCGAAACTTTGTTACGATTGTTTGAAGCATCTACCACACACACAGTGCTGTGTTAAGCACCAGCAACATAGATAGATACTATTACCCAGCTCTAAAGAGATTTAAGTGTCAATCAACAGATCATCCCTCACTCCTAAAGTTAACTTCATCTCAATCCGTGCTGAGCAATTACTTAGAATCAACATATTTCCATCTTTAGTCTATACCCCATTAACTTTTATTTTCCTCATCTATTGTGTCTCTAAGCACCTTTTGATGGCTTTCTATACATTTGCTCTGTGATACGCACTGGTGAAGGATGGAAGGGCCCTTTTTTTTTTACTGATCCTTGGTCATCTTTCAGAAAATCAGTCATTTGTAGCAGAAAGTGCAAATTGGAGTCAGCGTGTGGCACATGTTCGGTAGAGAGTTGACCTTGATGCTACGAAGCTTGGATTTGAGCCCTGACTTTGATGCATACTGGCTCTGTAACCCAGACAAGACATTTGACCTCTCCAAGACTGGAAGTTGCAGAGAAGGTGCTGACCTCCATGGGGTAGGGATAGTTTTCTCACCAGAGAGTTCCCAACACCAGTCAAATGACTGCTCCATTCCTTATCCCTACCCTAAGGTTACCTAGGATTAGGGTGGAGGGAGAAGAGGAGAAATAGATAATAACGGTCTTTAATTTTTTTTAAATTCATGTACTGCTTGGCACAAAAGTGCTTAATAAATGTTTATTGGTTGATTGATTGAATCATGACATTGAATAATGGCTAGTGCACTGGATTTGGCAGTAAGTCTGAGACTGAAGTCCTGTCTCAAGTACTTATCAGCTGTGTGACCCTGGGAAAGTCACTTAGAGTTTCTGAGCCTTCTCATGTAAAGTTGGAATAATAATAGCACTTATCTCATGGGGTTGTGATGAGGTTCAAATGAGGTGAGAGATATAAAGCACATCATAAACCTTTTAAAGTACTCTATAAATATGGGCTCAGAGCAATTAGGTGGCTCAAGTGCAGAGCACCAGTCTTGGAGTCAGGAAGACTCCTCTTCCTGAGTTCAAATCTGACCTCAGATACTTACTAGCTATGTGACCCTGGGCAAGTCACTTAACCCTGTTTGCCTGAGTTTCCTCATCTGTAAAATGAGCTGGAGAAGGAAATGGCAAGCCACTTTGCCAAGAAAACCCCAAATAGGGTCACAAAGAGTCAGACAAAATCAACAACAACAACAACAGCAACAAAATATGGGCTATTACTATTATTCTCAGGATGCTGACATTTGTTTTCATCAGAATCTATTATGATGCCAGGAGAATATGTAAAATAACATTATATGCGCACTGGTAGTTTAGAGGGTAGGGATCTATTCATTATCCCACCTGTTTAAAAGTAATTACCTTTGTTAGATAACAGTACTTATTAAATGACACACTCCATCCACACTGACTTAATAGAGCCAGTAAACCTCCTTTCTTTTGAGAGAGTTGGTCATGCCCAGAAGAATTTGTATAAAAGGAAAGAAACAATCTGAGAACCAGATAGCCAATTTTAAGTGTTTGAATAGATAGACCAGAAGGATTAGGGTCTTACTGAGCTAAGCCAGGAATCAGCTGCCCTGATGCAACCAGGGAAAGGATGGGAGAAGATAAGACCCAGCTGCAGCAGAAAAGGAGAGTATGAGATAGCTAGGTGGCACACCTAGCTAGGTAACTAGATAGAGCACCAGCCCTGGAGTCAGGAGGACCTGAGTTCAAATCTAACCTCAGACACTTGACACTTACTAGCTGTGTGACCCTGGGCAAGTCACTTAACCCCATTGCCTAGCCAAAAAAAAAAGAATGAGAAAAGAAAAGTAAATGAAGAGAGTGTTGGCCCCATTGTCATTTTTGAGAAGACCAAAGCTGATCCCAAGTCTTGAGAAAAGGTCTGCTCTTTCCCCAACTTACTCTCCAGGTATGGGTCTATTCATTTATGCTGAAATATAATACTCAGACCTTTGCAGGAACTTGGATTTTGACGTCACCCACAAAGAGACTAGAGGGCCCAAACTTTACTAACTTTTAGGAATTTTCCTAATTGGGAGCTCAGAGCAATTCTGATTGAATTCCCAACTTTTGCTCTCCAATAAACTACCTAACATTTCAAGGAACCAAGTGGATCTTAGGGGCCATAATACTATCCATTGTCTTATAATAAACTAATCGTTGTAGATAAATGTAAGTCTTGAGGGCAGGAGTTAATTTTGTCTTCATATACACAGCACAATAATTTGGTTCCCCACCCCCACCCCCCCCATGCCTTTTTTTTTTCTGTACCTGTGCTTTCCCTTCCTCTACCAAAAACAGATCAAGACTTTCTCTTCAAGTTGTCATCTCTGGGATTTTCCGAGTATATCACATTGCCTCCAAAAAGAGATGTCTTATTACTTCATTTCCCATTCTCATTCCTACTGCTTCTTTTTTCTTCTCTGATTGCTATTGCTAGGATTTCCAATACAATACTGAATGAGGTTGGTGACAGTGGGCATTCTTATTTCACAACTGACCTTAGTGGGAAGGCTTGTAGCTTGTCCCCATTACAAATAATACTTGCTGATGGTTTTAGGTAAATGATTTTTATCAATTTAAGGAAAAATCCATTTATGCCTATATTTTCACATGTATTTAACAGAAACCAGTTTCATAAGCTTTATCGAAAGCTTTTGTTTTATTTCTTAAGTTCAGAATTTTTTTTTAAAGAGTTGTCATCTGAGAAGGTTGGCTAGGGGCCCTAACAGATCAAGTGACTTGCCCTAGGTCATTCAGTCAGTGTTTTGGAGGCAAGACTTGAAGCCAGGTGTTTGGGATTCTGAGGACATCTCCCTGTTTATCATACCGTGCTCCCTCTTCTGGGTATAAGAGATCCAATCAATACTTGATTTGAATAAATTGAGCTGAATTTGGCATTATTCCAACATCACAGAACTGGTCACCTGATCCAACTGCTGCCTGCACAAGAATGCCCGGTACAATATACCAGACAAATGATAAATCAGCTTCTGCTTAAAGACCTCTTTGAGGAGCAACCACTCCTTTGGGAGGCCACCTCTCCAAATCTTAGAGAGCTCTGATGGGCAAGAAGTCTTTCCTTGCCTCAAGTCTACATTTGCCTCTTTGGGAATCATGGAGGCTCACCCAAACAAGAAGGCAAAAAGACCTGTTGGCTCAGAGTACGGTATTACAAAATAAGTCCCAACGTTTCTGGCATGATTAGGTCATAGAATTTCAAAGGAAAAGGGGGTCCTAGAAACCACCTAGTGCAGCAGCTTCATTTTATGGATAAAGGAATGATGGGCCAGCATGGTCAAATAATTTCCTGAGGGTCACAGAGGTAATAAAATAGAAGAGCTAGGATTGGAACCCAGGTCCTTTTTTGCTCTAAAATTAGTGGGTTTTTGGTTTTTAAAGCACAGCATGTAGTCATCTGCCTTCTGAAGAAGTAACTGGTGATATAGGCTTCCTTCTGTCCTTCGAAAGGAAGCTTTGAAGTTAACTCATTGAAATGCCGTCTGCATATTTTTCTCTTGTTTGTATTGGCCATCAGAATTCATAAGATAGTCTTTCCTTCTGGCCAATATCTACTAAAAATATTTAAATGAGCTAATACAAACAGTGGCTAGTGAGGGCATTACGCTAGTGCTTTCTTTCCCTTTCTTTTCATCCTGTTTTCAAAAGCAACTTTTTTCTTCCAAAAAAATCTTCTGACTTAGAAAGCTGGAGCATGTGGAGGCCCGAAGCAGCTGGAGGTCATGTTTTGCTGGGATATTTTGCTTCAGAATCTTTGGAATTTCAGTTATGAAAGTGATCCTTCTTTTCCTTTTAACTAACCAAGTTTTGAGAGAGATATCAGAGCTGAATATATTTTCCAGTATCTTCCCTTTTGAAGGAGCCGATCTGACGGATCATTTTGATGCCTTCTGCCAAATAAAATCTAAGTTAGTCAGGCAGTCAATAAGCTTTTATGAAGCTTTAAGTGCCCCGAACTGTTTTAAGGTATGAAACCAGAATGGTTTTATTTTCATTTGTAGAACATGTCCAATGTGAAGCTAGGATTCCATCGGCCATTAAGGGAGGCATGACGGTTATAACTATATAGGTGATAGGAGTCAGTTTTGGTCAGAGCACATCTGGAGTGAAGTGTTTGGTTCTAGGCACCTCATTTTGGGAAGAACATCATTAAGTCTTGGAGAGCATCCAGAGGAAGGTAACCGGGATGGTGAAAGACCTCTTGAGTTCATGACATGAATGTTGGTTGAAAGGACTGGGAATGCTTAGCTTAGAAAAGTGAAGATATGATAACTGTCTTCAATTCACTCATTCTATTTGGCCCTAGAGTACAATTGGTAGAAGTCAAAGAGACAGATTTAGACTTGATGAGAAGGAAAACTCTCTTATATCATAGGTTAATTAACTGCCTCATTGAGGGCCTGAATGATGGGCTGCCTTAGGAATGCAAGCCCTCCTTCAATGGAAGGCTTTACACAATGGCTGAGAAGGCCACTTGTCGAGTAGATTGCAAAAAATAAGGGTTGGGCTCCACGGTCTCTGAGGACCCTTCCACCATTGGGCTTCTGCGATTGCAAATGCAGTTTCTCTTATCCTGTTTCTTTTTCTGTCTTTGCACAGATTCTGGAGAACAAGAGGAGAACAATCCCCATAGTACAAGAGAGACAACCTTGCCACCTGTCAATAATAGCATCACCACTGTTCCCATCACGGAACCATCTCAGAAGCTCCCTCAATACCTACCTCTTTGTGCAGAGGAAAACTTAGGTCCTCTACCTGAAAACTGGGAGATGGCCTATACCGAAAATGGAGAAGTCTATTTTATAGAGTAAAGTATACTCCTGTTTCTTCTCTCTATGTATGTGCGTCTTCTGAGGCTGCAGATGGAAGCCAAGTCTGAACTAACTGATTGACTGACTGCTGAGTATATAGCGTGGGATGACCAGATAGAAATTTATGCCTTTTTTAAGAGGTTTTCGGGAAGTTTTGCAGTTCACCCAAAGAATGAACAGAGTATTCATTCTGATCCTTTCATTAAGTCTGAAGAGACTGTGAGAGAATGAGGTTAATCGTTTCCCAAAAGAAAGAGGGCCTCAAGTGGAAAACTGATGACTAAGCACTTTGGGAATCAGCAAGCCCTTTGTAGGAAACTTAATTTAGGCCTTAGAGTAGTGGCACCTGCAGCCGCCTGTGAGAAGTCCCCCCAAGGAGCAGAGGGAAAGGAATGTTGGTGTGGTTCTTTTTCTTTATCCACTGGAAGCAGAACAGTACATAGGAAGGAGCGCTAACCCATGTTCAAATCCACCCCCACCCCAACAGTCCCTGTGTGACCTTGAGCATGGTGCTTAACAACCCCGTGGGCCTTAGTTTCCTCATCTGTAAAATGAAGGAGTTGGATCAGCTTCTGAGTTTGTTTATACCTCCAGATCTTTGACCCTTCCATCTTCCATCCAAATGTGTCATACGGACTTGGATAGGAGTCATATCTGTTATTGTTTAGTCATTTTTTTCAGTCATGTCCAACTTTTCATGAGGTTTTCTTGGCAAAGATGCTGGAATGATTTACCATTTCCTTCTCCAGCTCATTTTACAGATGAGGAAACTGAGGCAAACAGAATGAAGTGACTTGCCCAGGGTCATGCAGCTAGTAAGCATCTAAGGCCAGATTCGAACACAGGAAGTTAAGACCAGGCATTCTATCCACTGCGCCACCTAGCTGCCTGTGGGAGAGATAAGTTGTGAATACTCATTACTGGTTTTTAATGAAGATTATAAAAGTCCTTCAGAGAAAGAGCCATGGAGTCTGAATGCTGATCGAAGCATACTATTTTCTCTTCTTTTGTTTTGTTTTTTCTTTCTTGTGGTTTTTACCTTTTGTTCCGATTTTCTTCTTTCACAACATGACTAATGTGGAAATAAGTTTAATATGATTGTGCATGTATAGCCTATATCAGATTGCATGCTGGCTTGGGAAGGGGGGGAATTTAGAACTCAAAATTTTATAAAAGTGAATGTTGAAAACTAAAAAGTAAATAAATTGGTTAACTAAAAGAATGTTAAAAAAAAGTCCTGAAGAGACTGAGTGGCTTAGTGGGTAGAGGCCAGGTCACAGAACTAGGAGGACCTAAGTTCAAGCCCTGCCTATGACATGTATTGGTTGTGTATCCCTGGGCAATTCATTTGACCTCTCGCTGTCCCCAGGCAACTCTCTAAGGTACAAGTTAAAGCAGAGTTGTTGATCTGAGTTATTGGGGACATTTCCAAACTGAGAATTGGCTACGCTAATGAACTCATAGGTCTAGATTTAAAAAAAAAAAAGCACCCAGTGATTGAAGAAGACCCATGCATTCAAAGCCTAAGCATTCCCTGTTAACTTGGGATGGCTTCTGCAAGGCCTGTTGGAGCTCTCCAGCATCAGCGGCTGTGCCTTCAATGTTGGTTGTCTCCTGCAGTAGAGATGATGTGGTCCTCTTTGACCACTGGACTTGGAGTCTGGGAAACCTGAGCTCAAAGAGTGCCTCTTACACTTGGTTAGTTATGTGACTGTAGGCAAATCTCTTAAGCTGTTGGAGCTTCTGGCACCTCTTCATAAGTTATAAATGGATCGTGTCTGTTAGATCTGCATCAGCTCGTACTGAAATCATAGGGCTTGACTTGCTGCTACATCTCCCCAAGTGCGTAGGACAGTGCATTGTGCAGAACAGATGTCCCATGAATGTTTGCTGCATTAAATAGAGTGACATTCGGAGGGGGAAAAACACACAAAACAGGACCAGTGTCATGAGAGTTTTCCTAATATAGAAAACTCTTCTTGATAAAATTCTTGATCATAGTTGCTTAGGTGGTATTGAAAAGAGGGATATTTTGGTTAGGAATACTTTACTGCTGGGAGTTGGGGGGAGCTAATACTAAACTAGAAACTTTAGCACATTGGAAGTGCTTGGCTCACCAGTCATAAGCAGAGGTGGCCTTTGGCTTCTGCCGTTGCTTGGATGACTTCATGTGTCATAGAGACTTGTACAAAGCAGTTGACTGCTGTTACTGCTGCTGAGTAGAAGGTACCACCTTGGTTAGACATTACAGTATCTGAGCCTTGCTATTTAGTTTTAAATTAAATTTCTGAGTAATAAGAGTTTTTTGGTTTTACTTCACGGTATCCTTCATTCTGAAACAGGGATCATTGTTCTAGTACCTCAGTTTGGGTCCAAAATTATGTCTTTGGTAAATCTCAGTCCAAGGAGTATCCTTTCTTCCTTTCTTTCTTCCTTTTCTTTCTTTCTTCCTTTTCTTTCTTTCTTTCTTTCTTTCTTTCTTTCTTTCTTTCTTTCTTTCTTTCTTTCTTTCTTTCTTCCTTTTTTCTTTCTTTCTTTCTTTCTTCCTTTCTTTCTTTCTTCCTTTCTTTCTTTCTTTCTTTCTTTCTTTCTTTCTTTCTTTTTCTTTCTTTCTTTCTCTTTCTTTCTTTCTTTTTCTTTCCCTCTTTCTCTCTCTCTCTCTTTCTCTCTCTTTTTTTCCCTTTCTCTCTTCCTCCCTTCCTCCCGTCCACTTTTGAAAGGTCAATTATATTTGATGTCAGAAGAGCCATGAGAAAGTGTTCATTGCTTGATTGATCAAAGTGTGGCAGAAAGTGCATTGTATTTGGTGTCCAAAGGCTTAGATTCAAACCTTGGCTGTTCCACTGATTTTCTATCCCTAACCCCTCTGGATTATAGATTCCTTAACCATAAAACAGGGCGGATTGGATGAGGTGACCTCGAGGGCACAGGTTTTTAACCTCAGATCCACAGATAGAATTCAAGGCTGGGGTGGTAAGGGGTGGAGGGTGTGAACTTGGATGGAAGAAAGCTTGCATCTTTTCCCTAACCTCTAATTAAAACTCAGCATTTTCTTCAGTTATTTAAAAAAAAAATACACCCTTCTGAGAAGGGCTTCTCCAGACTGCCAAAAGGAGCTGTGGCACAGAAAAGCTGAAGAACAGCTCTCCTTTCTGTAGCTAAAAATAGGTGGCCCCTGGGGTAGTGCAATGAGTGGACCGTGTTCTGGAGTCAGGGAGGCTGCGTTCAAATGGAGCTTCAGACTCTTACTAGCCAAGTGACCCTGGGCAAGTCATTTAACTTCTATCTGCCACTGTTTCTTCATCTGGAGATGGTGGTTTTGAGGTTAAATAGGATATTTGTGAAGTGCTTTGCAAGCCTTAAAGCACTATGAGAGTGCTATCATTATTATTATTATTATTATTATTATTATTGTTATTATTATTATTTATTATTATTATTATTATTATTATTATCCTTAAATCTGATGCTATCATCAGTATGATATTCATGTTGACTTTTAAGAAATCATTTTCAAATCCATGAGGACAGGGACCTCATCATCTTCATCGCCTTTGCCCAAGTGCCTAACACAGTTCTCTCTGCATATAGTAGGTTATTTAATGAATGTTTTTTTGATTAAATTGAATATTGGCTGCTCCCTCACACAATGACATTTATAACTCGCTTGTCACTTACTATATGGGCAAATTACTTAGCCCCAGTGGACCCTAGTTTTCTCATCTCTAAAATAAAACAATGGGACTTGATGCTTTCAGAGGGCCCTTCTGCCTCCAAAGCTATGATCTACTGTGATTTCATATTAATCACTTTTATATAGAACTTCGAAGTTGATAAAGCACTTTTCTCCCCCTGACCCTTTGAGATAAATACTATAATTATTACTATACCCATTTTATGGATAAAAAAAAGTAAGGCTCAGAAAAGTTACTTGCCCATGGTCAAACAGCTAGCAGGATGCCAACTGGGACTGAAGGTGTTATCTATGGACTTCATGTAGCTCTTTTTCAACCACACTAGACTTCATCTGCACTGCTAATGTAATCCTAGCTGGCAAGCAAGAAAGCTGAAACACTTATTATGATCCCAACATATCCGATATGTTTCTGAGAGATTTTTCTAATGCACTTGAACCTTGACTGAATCAAGCCCCTGTGAAAATCATCCAGCTGGATGGCACCCCTCTGAAAGCAATTGGCCAGGAGGGTTTAAATTCCCCAAACTTTTTGAACTAAGCTCCTTTTATTAAGGTAATTTTGTATTGCCTGCAATGTTTCTAAAGTACAATCTAGAAGTCTGAGATTAATGAAAGACATTAGGGGCTTTGAAGTACAAGAATGAATTAAAGTGCTTTTATTCATTCTGCAAGAGAATTGCTATGCAGTATAATGAGGGAAATACCAGACCTTTCATTCAAACTGCAACCTCCTGGTTTTAAGTCAGGAGGTCCTAAACACACACACACACGCACACACACACACACACACATACACCCCCAGACTGCAAATAGTAAAAGCTTCCACTTATCCCAGCTAAAAGGAATCTCATTCTGATGGTTCTGCAAAGATGAAATTGATATTCAGACTAAGCCCATGGGTGAGTTAGAGGTAGGAAGAAATAGTAATAGTATTTGTTCCTTTGGAGAGGATGCTGTCCCCTAAGTGGGGGACCCAAGGGCAAGTTCCATCTCTTACATGTATACTGACTGCACGATCCTAGGCCAGTCACCAAACCTTGGTGCTCAGAGCAATTCTCTGTGCCTGTGAATGGCAAAGAAGGCCCCAATCTGCATGCATGGAAGGAGCTCCCCTCTCTGAACTCAATGTAGTATTGAAATCTGATATGCTGATAGTAATATAGAAAAGGTTGAAACTATAAATCTTGTTCATAGGGTTTTCACCTGTATTTTCTCTTTTGATCTTCACAAAAACCTTTTGAGCTAATACCTGCCTCCCAGGGTTGACAGGGCCCTGGGGCGATAATGTTTGTGAAAGCATGTATTCAGTATCCAGTAAATATCTGCATGTGGTTGAATGATGGGAAATCTTTCCACTTTCACCTGATTGACAACTAAATGGGCTCTTGTCTTTTCATTCTACTTTCTTGTCTTTTTTTTTTCTTGTCTGCCTCTTGTCTTTTACTCTACTGCATGTCCCAAGGGAAGTAAGTAGTGGGGGGTCTAGAGTCAAGTAGGTGGTCCAGGAGATAGAGTGCTGGGCCTGGAGTCAGGAAGACCTGAGTTCAATTCTGGCTGCAGTGACTTAGCTGTGTGACCCTGGGCAAGTCACTTAACAGCCATTTGCCTCTGTTTCCACTTCTGTAAAATGGGGATAATAGCACCTACCTCCCAAGTTTTTGTGAGGATCAAATGATATATTTCTAAAGCAGTTTTGCAAACCTTCAAGCATTATATAAATGCAAGCTATATTATCATTATTATTGCTGGAAAACTAGGATTCACATATATGCTCTGCCCTGTAATACCTCTTTGGCCTCATTCTCCCCATCTGTTAAATGAGGAGGGATGATAATAACAATAAACAGTAGTAATAAGTAGCTAGCATTTCGGTAGCACTTTAATGTTTGCAAAAGTACTTTACAAATATTATCTCATTTGATCCTCATGACAACCCTAGGAGGTAGGTGCTGTAATTATCCCCATTTTATAGATGAGGAAACTGAGACAGAGAGAGAGGTTAAGTGACTAACCCAGGGTCACAAAACTAGTGTCTGGGGCAGATTGGAACTCAGATCTTCCTCACTCCAGGTACAGCCCTCTATTTACTGCACCATCTTGTTGCCTCTGAGGCCCTTCCAGTTCTGAATCTGTGGTTCTAGTGACATAGAACATGGATAGCTGAGGAAACTGAGGAATAGAGTAGACAGGACCTGACCATGGTCATGCCCCTTTTACATTATTGTTCTAGTAGAACTTAGGGTTTATCCTGCAAAGTACAGTTGTCTTTCTACTACATTCCTTTTAAGAAAAAAAAATGCCAATGGCATTAATACCCATGTTGATGTGAAATAATCTGTTATATGTTCCTACTATGTTCTTAATACTTTTTTAAATTTTTTAACTAGACCAGTGATTTCATCCTCCCCAATGAGGAGTTTCTCCTACCAATGCATATCTGTAGTTTTTCATCAACATAATGTCTTAGAATGTTGTCTAGGGCAGTGAGAGGTTAAGTGACTCACCTAGAGTCATACAGACAGTATATGACGGAATAGGTCTTCCTGACTCTTGGCCACCATTTTATCCATTGCTTATGTCAGACTGCTTTTCATTACAGACCCTTTATCTCCTTAAGATGGAAACCTTGCCTTGTGGGTTTTTGAAAGACTTTTACGATAGCAAATACCACAGCCAATCCCTCTCTTCCTTCCCCCTCACCCCACCAGGGCAGGAAAGAGTTGAATAATTCTCATTGTGTTCACTTCTCTTTTTGCTGTGGTTGCTGATGTGATTGGCGTTTTAGACTAAATTTATTGCAGTTTTTTTTTGGGTTGACTTCATCTGACCCTATCCCCATCCCTTTATGGCGCACAGTATCCGGCACTTTGGGCTGGGCCATCCAGGCTGTCTGTGTTTGTCTCTCCCATTTAGAATGTGGGCTCTTTGAAGCCGCTTGTGTATGTCCTCAGCTCTTAGAACAGTGTCTGGAACATGGCAAGCACTTAATAAATTCTTGTTAATTCGTTGATTGATTGTTACTAGACTTGGGCACAAAATGGAAGCAGGAAAAGCTAGATGTTTTCTTTCCTTGCAAATTTGACATCAGTTTATTAACAAGTTCCCTGTCTCCCTCTCTGCTTTTCAGCCACAACACAAAAACAACATCTTGGCTAGACCCTCGGTGCCTGAGCAAACAACAGAAGCCTCTGGAAGAATGTGAAGATGATGGTAAGGGGTGATGAGGGGACATTACGTTTGGCCTTAGTGACTGAGATTTGGAAATGTTTGTGAAAGAGTGTAGCAAGCAACATGCATGTGTGTTATGGGCGTAATTTCTTATAAAAAAAACGCTGTGAGCACGATCTATAAGTGCATTCATAAAGAAAGTTTTGCAGAATCATGATTGATGAGTTCTAAAGCTATAGGGTATCCATCGAGTTGTATTTCATAAACTCGATAATCTGTCTTCCTCCACTTAGTTTTTGCTGTGTGGATGATTAGGCCAAACTCTATTGAGCTTTTATGACTTCACCCAGAATCCATAGGTCCCACTGAGTACTTGAATTGACCATTGCCTCTCTACACCCATGGCCTAGCACCATCGTATAACTTGTCTGCATAGTCATCTCCAGGGATACACAAATATTTGACGAATCTGTGATTTTGTGGGTGAGAGAAATTCCTGGTATGGTAACTTCCATCGCCAATCCAACTTGCAAGTCCTCTGACTTAGATAAGTTAAAGAAATTTGCCTAATGTAACCAGCAGTTTATTGACTTCCAAAGGGTCTGCTTTCTTGTTAGTGTCAGAGCCAGGATTGAAATCCAGATCTTTCTAACTTTGAATAGTACCCTCTTCTGCTTCGGGAAAACAGTTGAAAAAGTGTTGTATTTCCAGTTAGCTGAACTTGATACCCATACCAACTCTATGGCTATCAAGTGACCTCTCTGGCCCTGGATTTCATCATCTGTAAAAGGAAAAGATAAGACTAGATGGTCTTGAAGATTTTTTTTTTAGCTCCAAATCGATGATCCAAAGACTTAGGGAAATTTAGAAATCAGTTTTCTCTAAAAAGTCGGATTTTCCCAACAGAATAACCTCATTAGGACTAAAGAAAGGCCTTGACAAGTTTTGGTGTCTTTATATCAACTGAAAGAAAGTCTCAGGTATGTGAGCAATGCAGTCTTTCAAGGAAGCAGTTGAGTTGTTTCCAATTAAAAACTGAAAATGGCTTATTGGCTCAAGAAGTTCCTAATGAAAATGTGTGCTTAGAAATGTTATGGCTTGAGTTTCTTTGAAAGGAAATCCTTAGTAAGACAGAGTGATCTGTTTGTTTTTGGCACGCTGAAGTCTATTTTCCACATCACATTGTTCTCTTTTCAACACAAAGCAGTTAAAAGGCTGATGTGTTGGCTGGTGGCTACCCTGTGTCGGATTTGAGCTTACGAATCAGTGGTATAATTACCCAAAACACATTGCACTAAGGGATAGTAGAACTTTCTGCAGTAATCTTCTTATATTGTCCTCGGGTCTTGGTAAACATTAAAAGGCAGCGATGCGTTTGTGTGGTATGTAAATTCATATGCGATGATTCCTGACTTTACCAGAAGTATATCTTCCCATCATCAACATAGAGAACTCCCAGGGTGGAAACTCCATGCACCAAGGCAGATTGACCACTTATCTGTAATTTCAACATCATGGAATTGCAATGAGAGAGAAGATTAAATATATATATGAAGAGAAAGTGGAGTAAAGGGGGGTAAACTCAATAATCAGGAACCACCTACTATGTTCCAGGTACTGTGCTAACAGCCGGGGATACAAAAAAGGAAAAGATGCCACTCGTTCTCAAGGAGCTCACAGACTAAAAGAGGGAGATAGCATGCAAACAACCTTGTTCAGACAAGCTGTAGACAGGATAGACTGGAGATAACTAGTGGAGGGAGGGCATTAGAATTAAATGGGATTAGGAAAGGCTTCTCATAGGAAGTGATTCCTTCCTAGTTAAAACCTGGTATTGCTCCAGGCAGGACCTGAATCCACATCTTTCAGATTCTAAGGCGGACCATTTATCCACTCTGACACATGGTGTTCCCTATCCTTGGCACTGCATAAAATACCCCAGCCATTGCCCTCTTAGAACTTATAGACTAAGGTAGACTAGTAAAGACAAATAGAAGAAGATGAAATGGGGTGCTGGACATGAATTCATTATTTACAAGATATGCGAGAGCCCCCATGAAGGGCATTTCAAAACATTAGGGATTTGAGCTGGAAGGGACCTTTGAGATCATTTCATATATCTCCTTCATTTTCAGGATTTCAGAACTGAGATCCAAGGGGTAACCTGATTTACCTAAGCTAAAAGGGGTACCTGGACCTGGATTTGAACCAGCACCTTTTGACTCCAAATTCAACAATCTTTCCCTGTACCACATGACCTCAGCAACTTTTTGTTAGAATAAAAAGCCCAGTGAGTCAGTGCTGTGACCTAGGGCCATGTTGTATTTTGATTGTTTTCTTGGCTTTCTCTATGATTACGAGATGTCAGGAAAAGAGGTGTTTGCTCTTTGGTGGAATGGGGTGTCCTGGCTCTTCGTAAATATTATATAGCGTGCATATTTTCTTATTCAAGATATCCCAAAAGTCTAAGTGCAATTGGAGTTTTTGTGTCAGCTCTCCTCCACCTTCACCCCTGAAGTCCTACTCCAGTGTTTCATTGTGTGTGGAAGTAATTCTAGGGTTTCAAAGAAAATACCAGTGGTGGGTAAACCCCAGTGTCCTTCCAAGTTGCAAAGGTTTTAGATTGGGTCCCCAGGATGGACTCCATGTCTGTTGTCCAAGGACCAGGTTCAAGTTCAGAGACACTCACTCTGCTTGACTGTGCAGTGATGGGCTTCTCAACTGTGACAGTTTTGAAAAACAGTCTACTTAATCATAGAGGGGTTGTGACCTGCAGCAGTGGAGAGAATACAATACCCCTACCAGTGAAATCACAGTTCATTGAAATAGTAAAGTAAATAAATATGCTATATAGACAGAGTACCAATTTTTTAGAACATGGAAGGCAATAAAATCCATTCAGCTATGAAAGTATACTGAAGCTACTCTGACTTATTCATTTCTCATAGCTGAGAATTCTAATCATACATGCAGCCCCTGCAATGGCTCATGGTTATCATTGTGAGCACTGATTAATGCTATATTGAGATGCATGAAAATGTTAAAGATTTCCAGCTAACAAGATGCCATATGACAGGTTTCCAGATAAGTTTGGTTGAGTTGAACAGTAGCAATAGTTATGGGTTTCCACTTGAAGAGGGAGTGTGGTACATTGGGAAGGTCAGTGGCTTTGGAGTCAAAGGTCTGGGGTCAAATTCCACCTCTAATACTGACTACCTGCAAGCCACTCTGTTTCACTGTGACTCAGTTTCCTTACTCATAAAATAAGAAGGTTGGACTCAGTGGTCTTAAAGGTGACTTCCAACTACAAATCCATGCTTCTAAGACCCTTGGTGTGCTCATTATATTTCTGTTTGTTTACTAACTCCATAGACAGATAAAGTATGATAAAGGGTCCGTGGATACCAACAGGTCCAAATCCTTGTTTCTGAGATGAAACATTGGTCCAGTGATACTGTGACTTCCTTAAGGTCACCCAGCTGGTCAAAGAGTTCTTTCCACTACATGACATTGTTCCCTTTTTGCCATTTATCTTGTGATGAATATATTTTCACCTCAAGTGCAGTTTGTTAGGTGTAGGTAGGTTGAATAAGAATTCGTCATTATGGCATTTAGACTATGTGCTCCTTGAAGACAGGAACTGTTTTTTGCCTTTTTTTTTGTATCCCTAGCACTTAGCATAGTGCCTGGCATATAGTAGGTGCTTAATAAATGCTTATTGACTAAGTGAAATGAAAAGCAAATCTGAATAAATACTCTCTCTCTCTCTCTCTCTCTCTATATATATATATATATGTATGTATGTATGTGTGTATATATATATATATGCATATATATGCACACACACACTCACACATAACATACATATATTTATATATACCTATACATATATGGATATATGTTTGTGTATATGTATCTTTGTGCAAACGCTTTTAAGAGCTAGCATATAAATATACATATATGCACACGTGTACCACTGTCAGACTGACCCCTGACCAGCGCCCAGTAACACATATTCACCACTGGGTGCTGTTTGCCATTTGTATAGCTTCCTAGTGTGCTTCTGATATCATGATGTGAATGCAGTGTGTACGTAAACTAACATTGTACTATTGGTTACAATGGATCTTCTACCTATTATCTCATATCTTGTTGTCATGCAGTGATTCTGTGAGTGTACTCTATTATCTGAAAGGTGTAGCAAGACCTACTCTTAAAACCCAATGTCCAAGATACAAGGAGCTGTTCTAGTCTGCTTGTCTTTCCTCTGTGACTTGAGTTTCATTCTAGGCACCTAACCCATTTGGACTGTGTTCCTTTCTCAACCATTACTCAGAGACACACATCTAGGTGACATGTTTAGGACAGAGCTGATCCCCACAATCAGGACTTTGGTTTGCAGTTATTAATCATTTGGTTAAGCTTTTCGATTCTGTTTAAAAAACTTGTCTCTCGTGTCTACTATGTGCCTAGAACTGTGCCAAATGATGTGATGGGTACAGATTAAGTACCTGATCCATCCTTGCCCTGTATTTGGAGAAACAAGGCTTAGAAATGCACAGCTAAGTAGAGGAGATGCCAGAATCCCAATTGATTTCAAAAGATGAAATTGTAATACTGATTATCAGGAAGAGAAGAAACCTAGACCTGTTTTGGGCAGCTGGAATTTTTTTTTAAAGAACACTCTGATATGCAAGTACTTTGACCCACACTTCAGTAAATATGTGGAACCTGGGGTATATCCAGGACAATGTGCATGAAGATTTTTGTGTTTCCTTGAGGTATCCTAATTGAGTAGAATGACTTTTTAAAGAACGCATTGTGTTTGAGTTCAAGCTACAATATACCCTCTCAATTTGACCTCGCCTTTTATTTTCAACCACTGATAGTCCTTAAAAGTTAAGTGATGTCTTAATTGTGAGTGTAATTGCTTAGCTGATTAGAAGAATATTGAAGAATTAAAAGGAGTGAGATATTAAAAGGCCTGGCAGCTTTATTCACTTGGAATGAGATCTGTAATAAGTGACTCTCACTTAAGAATGTGGAAATTGCAAAGCCATTTCTCATCTTTTACAACCAATCATATCCTATTTTGACATGCAAGGAAACGATCCCTATAATTATTTTGCCAATACAAGCACTTGACGTTTCATGATTTGCATTGATTGGGGTCTGAAGAGTTCCAAGGGTGGAAATGAGATGAGCCGAGCGCAGGTAAGGTCCAGATAACAAAATCGGGGTGTGGGCTGCTATTTTTATTCTAAAGGGTGTTTTCTTTCTTGGTGCTGGTGTCTGAATTTTTCTTTTCCTCTCTTCTATCTCATTTCCTGCTCTTCCTTTGGAGAAGAAGGGGTACACACCGAGGAATTGGACAGTGAACTAGGTAAATCTCTTTTCTATCCTTCTGTTTGCTCCATGCCTTAGATTATATATTTTTTTAAGTCTTTAGTGAATTGCTTAATCCTTCTGTTTCATTAGTTTGCACCTTTCCAATTATGATTTTTGTTTGGACTTATCACCAAAAGGTCAATTTGATAACCAAATACGGCTGATTCTTCAGTTATAATGAATGGATTCTCTACAGAAATGATTAGTAGATGAGGCTTAAGAAGGAAAATAAACTGAGTCTGAGAGAAAGAGCCCAGAAAGGGCAAGGAGAGATCTGGGATTATATTCTGGCTGCTCTGACTTTCTGGGAACCAGAGAATGATTTTTCTTGTTCTTCCTTACCCTTATTTTTTTTTCCCAGTCTGAAGTTACCCCTAGTCCAAATCCCACTATTAATCAGCACGGGAGCTGTGACATGCCCTGTTTCCAACTTGGGCTGATTTGCCCCTCCTTAGGTAACCAGGCAGCCCCCTACCCCTAGGGGCTCTGCCATATTAATGCTGAATTGAGGGTGGACACTCAATCTTCATAGCCACCTGCAGCTGAGAATTTACAATCCCAAGAGATCTACCACCTTCAGCCTCCCTGGCAGCAGAGATTACAGACATATGCCACCATGCCTGGCTGCCCTCATCTTTTAAAAGGTGGTGATGGTTGTATTTTCTTATCTGAAAAAGAAGCAGACTAATAAATGCTTCTTGAATGACTGAATAGAAGGAAAGAGAGAAATTCTGGATTGCTAGATTTCCTATACTTTGGGAAGTGGCCATCAAGAAGTAGTGGTGACTCTGTTGCATTGTAGCTGTGTTCCCTGGCTAGACTTAGCTGTGATTGCAAATTCAGAGCTGAAAGCAGCTTTGTTAGTCTGTGTTGAAGTAGCTCGTCAGTCCTTAAATGTACTCTTAGAGCTTACTTAGGACCAACTAGATTCACAGATAATCCGAAAGTATTTTATTCTGATTTTTAGATGCAGTTGGACTATCAGGTTTTTTTTGTGGGGGGGGTAAAAGGGATAATTGGTAGCACATTAACATTTTTATTATGTTGAGTTTAAACAACATTGAAATTAGTATGTAACCTCTGAGTGTGCACCACCTAAGGCTTGGATGAGAAAACTCACTGGTCAATATTGTATTTGCAGGAGGCCAGAGAAAATTGAAAACTGACCAGAATAGTCATCTTAGATTCAAAAGATCCTTTAATTATTCTTGCCTCTAATGGAACTATTTGAAATGATAGCCATAGCTTGATTAGCATATAAAATACCTTAAAATTATATGTAAGTAAATAATATGGAGCTTTCCCCACTCTGATTTAATTCTAATTTTTTTTTTCTTTTTGGGGACATAATAATCGCACATTTGTCCAACAGCTTCTTTAGCCAGGGTTGTGCTACACATATCATTTGTGTCTGGTTTCTTTAATGCCTCGGCTATATTCTGTTGTGGATTGATGTGCCAGCAACAGTCAATAAGCTATTGACCATTCTATTTTTAAGACATTCAAGAAACTCTTCTTGCGGTCAGTGTGGGAGGAATGACTCTGAGGCTAATCCTATATATTAAGGCAATTGGAGAGAAATTACCCCAGAACTAATTGGCTCATTCTAACAATATACGACCAAGCCCATTAAAGGGGACAGCACAATGATCCCATGCATAATGGGTTATAGGAATTGTTTGTTGAAACAGCCCAAACCACAGCCCTTGGTCCCTGAACAGAAAAGAAATGATCTGAAGGCGATCGTGAACAGGGAGCACAGTGATCAGCTTTGTTGAAATCGATCTGAAGTCCTAATTGATCTGAAAGCAGCTGGGACACTATAGTTAGGGTCAAATTTGTAAAGAGGGAAAGGAAAGCTCCAAGTCTCCCCTGGATCACTTTACAAGTGTCATTGTGTTATCCATTGCAAGATGAATGATAAAGATGGGGAAATGATGGAGAAAAAAAAAAGATTAAGGTTCTATTTCCATAACCCTAATATAATGCCGTCTGGACATACTGGGGCAGCTAGGTGGCGCCATAGTGCACTAGGACTTTAGTCAAGAAGACTCATCTTCATGTGCTCAAATCTGGCCTCAGACACTTACTGTGGGACCCTGGGCAAGTCACTTCACCCTGTTTGCCTCAGTTTCCTCATCTGTAAAATAAGCTGGAGAAAGAAATGGTAAACCTCTCCAGTATCTTTGCCAAAAAACAAACAAACCAAAATGCAGTCAGGAAGAGTTGGATACAACTGAAACCGCTGAACAGCAATCCGTTGTGGACACACCAGATCCAAAGTAGCTGATATCATTTTATGATCTTCCCTGAAAGGGACACGTGGGAGAAAGGCAGTATAAAAGAGTGAATAGTAAATGGCTGTTAAAGTCAGGAAGGCCTGGATTCAAATTCTGCCTCAGACAAAGCAGCAGTGTGACCTTGAACAAGTCACTAAACATCTCGGGTTCACTTCCTCATCTGTAAAATGAGAGGATTGAACTCATTAACAGCAGAGATCCCTTCCATCTCTAAATCTGTGATCCTAGGAGTGTACCCATAAGGTAGGCTAGGCATGATTCAGGTGGTGGTGTTTTGTCATTTTTCAGTTATGTCCGACTGTTCTTGGCCTCTTTTGGAGTTTTCTTGGCAAAGATCCTGAGTGAGTTTGCCACTTCCTTCTTCAGCTCATTTTACAGATGAGGAAACTGAGGTAAATAGGGTTAAGTGACTTGCCCAGAGTCACACAGCTCTTAAGTGTCTCAAGCTAGATCTGAGCTCGGGTCTTCCTAACTCCAGGGTCAGTGCTCTTTCCACTGGGCCACCTAGCTGCCTGTCTCTACTAAGAAAAAGGAAGGAAGGAAGGGAGGGAGGAAGGAAGAAAGAAGGAAGGAACAGAGGGAGGGAGGGAGGAAGGAAGGAAGGAAAGAGGAAGGAAGAAGGAAGGAGTAGGGAAGGAAGGGAGGGAGGAAGGGAAGGAGGAAGGAAGGGGGGAAGGGAGGGAGGGAGGAAGGAAGGAAGAAAGAAGGAAGGAGGAAGGAAGGGAGGGAGGAAGGAAGGAAGGAAAGAGGAAGGAAGAAGGAAGGAGTAGGGAAGGAAGGGAGGAAGGGAGGGAGGAAGGAAGGAAGAAAGAAGGAAGAAGGAAGGGAGGGAGGGAGGAAGGAAGGAAGGAAGAAGGGAGGGAGGAAGAAGGAAGGAAGGAAGGAAGGAAGGAAGGAAGGAAGGAAGGAAGGAAGGAAGAAGGGAAGAAAGGAAAGAAAGAAAGAAAGAAAGAAAGAAAGAAAGAAAGAAAGAAAGAAAGAAAGAAAGAAAGAAAGAAAGAAAGAAAGAAAGAAAGAAAGAAAGAAAGGGAAGGAGGAAAGAAGGAAGGAAGGAAGGAAGGAAGGAAGGAAGGAAGGAAGGAAGGAAGGAAGGAAGGAAGGAAGGAAAGAAAGAAGAAAGGGAGGGAGGGAGGAAAGAAAGAAAGAAAGGAAGGAAGAAAGAGAGAGAGAGAGAAAGAGAGAGAGAGAGAGAAAGAGAGAGAGAGAGAGAGAAAGAAAGAAAGAAAGAAAGAAAGAAAGAAAGAAAAAAGAAAGAAAGAAAGAGAGAAGGAAGGAAGGAAGGAAGAAGGAAGGGAGAGAGAAAGAAAATGTGTGTATATGTATATATGAATGTGTGTGTGTGTGTATATACATATATGAATATATAGGATATACAATGTATGCTCATGTATATGTATTTAAAGTACACACACATAGTTATTCCCATGAACCTCCTCCACCATTATCCAATATAGCCCATTTCCATGATACATAAATCTTGCTTTCAAAAAACACACACTAGGTACTCTTTATGGACTATGAATTTCAAAATGCAAAAATAAAGATCTAACATTTATATAGTACCTTAAAGTGTGCAAATCATTTTGCAGAAGTCATTTCAACTGATCCTCGCCACAACTCTATGAGGCACGTGCTATTATTATCCCATTTAACAGATGAGGAAACTGAGGCTAGTTGGGTTAAGGGACTTCTACTTGGTTTGAATCCACATTTTCCTGACTCCATCACTACCCAACTAAACTGCTTCTAATATGCCTCTAAGAATGCTTTCTCCCCTGGTGGCTTACCTTTTTGATCCATATGATTTGATTATAGAATTGTGGTTTCTGAACTGGGTTGTCAAAGCTGGCTTGAGACTTCTGAGATGTAGTTGCCTTTTGGAATTGCCAAAGGTCCCTGCAGAAATCTCCCAGCAAACTGTATGCTCAACTAGTACACCGTTGTAACCCATATTCTGAGTTGCGGACTGTTTTAAGTGAAATAAATTGGCATTGGGGGGTGACTAAAAGTTAATAGATTTTGGTCTGAAAATGTGCATTTGCTTTGTATTGTACATTTGAGCTTTTAAAAAATGCCACATGGCTCTTATGTTATCTTTGTGGCTTTTGCAGTTTTGCTGTTTTTGACCTGAGGGACATTTAAAGGATGCCCGCAGCCATTGGCTGCTCTTCTCCCCCTCCCCCATAAGGATCACCCAGGATGGGGCAGGTATGAGTAGGCTGTGATCTCCATCCTTGGAAGGGAGTTAGCTGCATTGGTCCCGTGGAGTAACTTCCAAGCCTAAGCAGTAGGCTGTCTAAAGTTTGTCACTGTGATGACAGAGTGATTGGGAGCACTGGTTTGAGACAGATGACATCTTCAACTCCAGCCTGCGGCCTTTCCGGGATGTCTCCCCTGCCCTTGGCTCTCTCTATATAGGTGGCTGGTCTCTGTTCTCGGAACTTACCAGAAATGATTTCATAGCCCATCTGCCTGTCTGATAACTATTGTAATTAGGAGGTTTGTCCTAATCGCTAAGAACCTTCCTAGCTTCATATTTTTAGTCTTGAATGGATTCTATCCTCTATCTTTTTTATTTGTTTTGTTTTTGCCTTTTATTTATTTATATTATTTTTATCATATTTTATTTCCTCCTCAATCACATGTTAAAACAATTTTTAACATTTGTGGGTTTGGTTTTGTTTTTTAAGTTTTGAGTTCCAAATTCTAGCCCTCCTCCCTCTGTGAGATGGTAGCTAATCTGTTATAGGTTATACTTGTTCATTTATGTAAAAGATTTCCATATTAGTTCTTTTGTACAAGAAGACTCAAATGAAAAAGGAGAGAGATAGTATACTTCAGTCTGTATTCAGACAATATCATTTCTTTCTCTGGAGGCAGTTAGCATTTTTCATCATGAATCAAACAGGTAATTTTGATTTTAAAAAATTAAAAAGTTTTTGCACAAATAAAACCAACGTAACCAATATTAGTGGGAAAGCAGAAGACTGAGGGGGTTTGATTTTGCAGCAAATATCTCAGATAAAGGCCTCATTTCTCAAACTTACAGAGAACGGAGTCAAATTTATAAGATTAAAAGTAATTCCCCAATTCATAAATGGTCAAAGGATATGAACAGACAGTTTTCAGACAAAGAGATCAAAGCTATCTATAGTTATATAAAAAAATGCTCTAAACCACTATTGATTAGAGAAATGCAAATTAAAACAACTCTGAGGTATCGCCACACATCTATCAGATTGGTTAATCTGACAAAAAAGGAAAATTATAAATATTAGATGAGACGTGGGAAAACTGGGACACTAATGCACTGTTCTAGAGTTGTGAACTGATCCAGCCATTCTGGAGAGCAATTTGGACTATGCCCAAAGGGCTATAAGACTATGCATATCCTGTCCTCTACCTTTGCTCTGGAACTTGGCCACATTCCCAGTCAATCTTCTTGCTATTGTTTAATAAAATTAATATTATTAATAATTAATATCCAATAAAATCATTAAGATCAAATGCTATTAATCATATAGAATAAAATAATTACTGTGATGATATATTTAATGATAATATTAAATAATAACATAAACTGTTATTTTTATAGCACCTTTATAGTTTCTATATAACACTTAATAGACATGATCCCATTTGGACCTCACAATAACCCTATGAAGGAAGAAAATGCAAGGATTGTTACCCCCATTTACCAGATGAGGAAACTGAGTCTCAAAGAACTGTAATGAGATGCCCATGGTCTCCCAGTTGGATTTCTGTGTCCTATTACCCTGCCTCTGGGCTTCCTAACTCCATGTTCAATGCCCTACCTCCTACTCCACCCTACCTCTCCATTGGCTAGAGGCTGTTGAGCGGCCACTATTATTATATAAAATAAGTTAACTGTATTGGAGAAACCAGGAAGACTTTTAGAGCTTTTAATTTTCTTTTAGAAATTGATATGTTCAGTTTTTAAATATGTATATATTCATTCTAAATTATCATTTCTAAAAATTAACAATATTCCCTTAAAAAAATTCACCCCATGTCATTACCTGTGCATCCCTTATTCTCCTATTTTATGGGCTAATGATCAGGAAACAAAATAAATGTAAGTAGCCAATTTTTAAAAGTTGTGGTTAATCCCAGTGAAACAGTGTATTTCTGAGTGTACCTCTTGCCTCATTCCCACATGTTTGGCACTTTCATCTGTCCCATCAAAGGAAAAGCATGAAATCACGTGCCACATTTTACGTTTTTTTTAATTTCCTGATTCGTCTCTTTGTTCTTAAGTGGTTGGAAACATTCTCCTGGCTTGTTTTTATTTAGATGGTAATTTTCAGTGTTCTTTAAGTAAGCTGTTTCCCAAGCCTTCCTGTTATAAAGGTCTCCAAGCCTCAGTTTATAAGAATGCCAAGTGATGTCAACATCTGCAGAGGGGCCCTGATGTATACTTAGCTGCTTAGGTTTGAAGGATTCAAAGACCCAGAAAACCTTCGAAGTGTCAAAAAAAAATGAGGATGGGAGGTGGGCCCTGCCTCTTTGTTTGCAAACAACTCACATGTGCAGTAAAAGCTGTGAAATGAATGTCTCTTGATGTTCAGCCAAACCTGAAAGTGAATGTAAACTTGGAGTAATTAGGCTGCGTGTGTGTGTCTATGTGTGTCTGTGTTTGCTCCTCATTCTTGTAGACTGCTGGTCATGGAGCTGAACTTGCTAAGTTCTCTCTGTGTCCTTAACTAAGCTTTTCTAATGAGTAGGACTCTCCTTGTTAATGTCAGCTACATAACTGCCTGCCCTCAATGGATGGAATGAAGGAAGGAAGGAAGGAAGGAAGGAAGGAAGGAAGGAAGGAAGGAAGGAAGGAAGGAAGGAAGGAAGGAAGGAAGGAAGGAAGGAAGGAAGGAAGGAAGGAAAGAAGGAAGGAAGGAAGGAAGGAAGGAAGGAAAGAAGGAAGGAAGGAAGGAAGGAAGGAAGGAAAGAAGGAAGGAAGGAAGGAAGGAGGGAAGGAAGGGAGGAAGGAAAAAAGGAAGGGAGGAAGGAAGGAAGGAGGGAAGGAGGGAAGGAAGAAAGAAAAAAGGAAGGAAAGAAGAGAAAGAAAAAGGAAGGAAGGAAGGAAGAAGAGGGAGGGAAGGAAGGAAGGAAGAAAGAAAAGAGGAAGGAAGAGAAAGAAAAAGGAAGGGAGGAAAGAAGGAAGGAAGAAAAGGGAGGGAAGGAAGAGAAAGAAAAAGGAAGGGAGGAAGGAAGGAAGAGAAGGAAGAAAAAAGAGAAGAAAGAAAAAAAGAATGAAGGATAGAAGAAAAAGAAAGAAGACAAAGGAAGGAAGGCTTGTGTTTCAAAATAAATAATATTTAAAGTTATTTGTCTTCAAGTCAGGTCTTCATGGCTCTGTTCGGGAATGACATTCTTTGTCGAAATATTATTTTAATATGAGCTTATCTTAGTTATAGATTGTGAGGGTTTAAGCAGTCGTACTAAGATGGGATTTAGTCATTTCTCCAAAGAATAAAAAGATTTCAGTGTAAAATATAACAGAACTTGGTTGTCTAAATCATAATTATGTTTAGAGAAAAGATATTGTTTTATGTTTGTCAAATAAAGTTATCTTGAGAATTTCCCTTTATTAAAAAAAAATAGAGATAAGAAAAGCTGTTAAAGAAAAGCTTATTACCTCATGGAGTTATTTTGGGTCAATACAGCAGAGAATCAAAGCCTGCTGTCATAGAATTAGGGCAGCCAGATGGTGCAGTGAATAGTGTGCCAGGAGTCAAGAAAACTCATCTGCATGAGTTCAAATCTGGCCTCAGATGCTTACTAACTATGTGACCCTGGGCAAGTCACGTAACCCTGTTTGCATCAGTTTTTTCATCTATAAAGTGAGTGGGAAGAGGGCCTAGTAAACCACTCCAGTATCTTTGCCAAGAAAACCCATAATGGGAGTCACAAAGAATTGAACATGACTCAAAACAAGTGCACAAAAACAGCCTTCGCTTGTGTGGCACATGGTGGTTGGTGCTAGTCCCCAATACCATCTTTACTAAGAAATTCCACTGGTGGGAATAATTCCTTAGAGATCCATAGAATGTAAATGACCCGAGGACGGGGAGTAGAGCAAATCTGGACTCAAAGTGTAATGCTGTGTGTTAGAGATAGAATGGAAAGCAATTTCAAGTATGCTCCTCTATTTAAAATGCATGTCTAGATTTTTATTTTAGTACTAAATGATAGTGAATAGGCAGTATGGTATAATGGATAGAGAGGTGGCCTTGGAGTCAGGAAGACCTAAATTGAAGTCTTACCTGTAACACACATTGGCTTATGTGACCTTGGGCAAGTCAAGGTCTAGTCCTACACTCACCCATTGCCCACCCTCCAAAATATCAATAGAAATAGAATTTAAATTAGGAATAAGAGAAAAATATTATTATAATTGTAGTATTTCCTCATGAAAAAAAAAAAGAATAGTCCTGGGTTGGTTAGTTTGTTTGAAAAGGGGGATAGGGGAGAAAGATTTAATTTCTCCTGCATTTTTCTTGTCCTATAAAGAAGTTAAGAAAAGAGGGAAGAAAACTCTGAACAATATGAATCAGGAAATACAAGTTAAAATCACATCGGTAGGCTTTTTTTCCCCCTTAAAAACAAATTTGACAAGTTAATTTAGAATAAAGGAAATTGGAGCCCCATTTCAGGACCCTCTCCCCTTCACCGATTCCTCTGCTGCTTAAAATGTAAAATGCTTAAATGTTTGTCACCTAAGAAGACTTTTTTTAAATGCCTACTTTTCATTAGGATATATATTTAAAAATGGAATGAGGGCTTCATTCCACCTAACTCATTTGTCAAATACACACCCACTCCTCAATGTCCCACTCTGAATACTAAGAATGGTTTTTTATTTTGTTTTCAGAATTACCTGCTGGTTGGGAAAAGATTGAAGACCCCGTATATGGTGTCTACTATGTAGAGTAAGTGGTGATTTTAAAATTCAGATTTGCATTTGCAAAGTCTTTTAATTTTTTTGAAATTAAATTTTATTTTATTTTCTTGAAATTCTTCTTTTTTCCCTACCGCCTTTCCCTCCCCACCCCCACCTCCTGCCATAGGAAAAAAAAAGAACAAAATCTCTGTTACAAACACGTATAGTCCAGCAAAACAAATTTTCAAATCGGCTATGTCCAAAGAAAGTATCTGTAGCGTATCTGAGATTATTTCTCACAGTCCTGGACAGACTGAGATTCTCATGAAGGAGGAAGGGGAGTGTTATAATAAGCAAAAGATGGAGAAAAAAACTGGCAAGACAGAAACATCCGTGTTCTCATAAGGGCAGTCAACTTGTTGGCCTCCCTAGGCCAGATGAATGATGGTCTCGCATCTTCGGAATGAGGGCCCCTTGTGCTGTTCTCTTCAGAAGACCGAAGGACATTTGAATACTGACTGACTGACTGTCTCCACACGGGGAGGAGTCAGCCAAGCTGAGCTGTCCTAGAATGAAAGAAACGTTAGTGGGGTCTGAGAGATGGGGAAAAGGTGACGGAATTCCAAGTCTAAATAAACACTTCAGTGATTGTATTAGTGAGAGAGAACTCTCTCTTACTAATTGCCTTTTTCCATCACTTCAGGACCAGGCATGTCATGGCATAGTTAAAAGAGTGCTGGATCTACCTCTCTGTATTTAGCACTTAGCACGGTACCTGGAACAGAGTAGGCAGCTAGTAAATGTTTATTGATTGGGTTGGAGTCAGAGGATCTGGGTTAAAATCTTGATTCTTCTCTTTGCTACTTCTGTGACTTTGGTCAAGCCATTTACCCTTTGGGGGTTTTAGTTCCCACCTCCATGACTTTGTCAAGGCTGTTTTGCCCCTCCTTACCTCTGCCTCTGAGAGTCTGCTTCCTTCAAAGCTCAGCTCCAACATCACCTCTTTAAAGAAGTCTTTCTTGATTCTCCCAGCTGTTCCCTTCTTTCTGCTTTGCATGTGCTTATGTGAACACGTCATTTCCTCCAATAGAATGTGAGCTACCTGAGGGCAGGGACTCCTTCTTGGATCTCTAGTACTTAGCTCGGTGAAATTTAGATAGTTTAGTAAAGATGTGTTGACTGATCGATCCAGGAAATGAGGAGCTTGGACTGGACTATCCATTGGGCCTTTCTTTCTCTAAGACTGGGATCCCATTTTGTATTATTATCCTTCAAGGAAAGAACCTTGATTTACCAACACCCTTAGTGGGGTGCATCCTGGGCTAGCATTCCTTCCCCCAGTGAATAGACAGGCAAGAAAATAAAAAAAGCCAGGAAATGAGATGTTCAGATGTAGCCTTGATGTTTATTACCTCTGACTATGATGAGAAATAATGAATAAATGATACCTTGCAAGAAAAGAGGGCCAGCTAAATACTTAATAATAATCCCTACTAGAAGGAAGATAACCAGCGTGCAATTTTTTTTCCCAGTGTTCTGGCATTGAGGTGTTACCCATTTCACACTTTGATGAAGGGAACTTGTGATGGGAAACTGTCAATCATGAAATGTTCAGCATCTTATTATAAAAAATTATGAGCTCGGTATAGCAAGGGCCCTTGCTAGAATGATTGGTACCTTGGAATTTCAGTGATCTGACTGCACTCGCTCGCTCGCTCTCTCTCTCTCCCTCCCTCTCTCTCTCCCCCTCTCTCTCCCTCCCCGTCTCTGTCTTTCTCCCTCCCTCTCTCTCTCTGTCTCCCTTTGCCCCTTCTTCTCCCCCTCTCTCTCTCCCTCCTTCCCTCTCTCCATCTCCTTTTCCCTCTTCTTCTCCTTCCCTCCTTCCCTCCCTCTCTCTATTTCTTTTTCCTCCTCCCTCCCCTTTCTCTGTCTCCCCCTCCCCTCCTCACTGTGACTCACTCTCTCCTCTTCTTTCCTTCCTTCCTATTTTCTCTTCCTTCTCCCCCTTTCTCTCTCCCTCCCTCCCTTTATCCCCCCCCAAATTAATTTTCATCATGTGCAATGCCTGCCACATAGTAAGCACTTAATAAAGGCTTGCTGTTTGATTGATTGACAATAGGCAGCTGGAAGCTTAGAGCCATTTTTCCATTGAACGCACAGAATGGAATTTCTGTCCATTTGAGCTTGGTTCTGCCTTGAAAGAGCAATCAGTCAGTAAACATTTATTGAGCTTCTACTATATGCTAGGCACTGTCAAACGTGATAGGGCTAACAAATAAAAAAGTGTGGCAGTCCTTGGCCTCAAGGAGCTTACATTCTTCTGGAAGCAAGAGGAGTAAATGGCTGCATCCAGGAATGGTATTTCTCTGCAATTTGGGGTGGGATAGGAGTGGGGAGGAGTGTCAAGGGCCAGAGCTTGAAAGGAATTCATAATCACTTCTTATGTGACTTTCATAGGAAACAAGGTTCATAAAATCTTCTATTTAGAGCTAGAAGGGACTTCAGTTGGTCAGTCTATAAGCATCTACCGTGTTTCAGACATTGTGCTAAGCATTGGGAATACAAGGAAACTAAATGGTAGTCCATGATCTCAAGGACCTTCCCGCCTAATGGGGCAGAGAACATACACCCAGCTGTGTACAAACAAGCTGTGTAGAGAATGCTTTGGAAATACTCAGCAGAGGGAAGGCACTGGAATGAAGCCCAGAGCCCATCTTGTCCAGCCTGCTCACTTTACCGATGAGCAGATGGAGGCCCAGGGAAGTTGTCACTTATCCAAGGTCACAAAGAATCAGATTCGAATGCCCATTGGCTAGGAATGGGGCATACAATGTCATTAGCCTAGGGACCTCCCAGGTGAGAAAACTTTATCCATGCAGATTGTCATCTTCTCTGCAACTCATAGGTTCAGATTGCTGCCTAAGATCCTAAGCCAGCACATGTCAGAGGCAACGTTTGAATCCAGGGCAGCTAGGGGATGTAATAAAGAGTTCTAGACTTGGGGATCAGCAAGACCTGAGTTCAGATCCTGCCTCACGTACTTACAAATAATGAACTGAATTAGACAAATCACTGCAGTTCTCTTGGCCTCAGTGTCCTCATCTGTAAAATAGGGATAATGATAGCACCAAACTCATAGGATTGTTTTGAAGCTCAAATGAGACTGCGTAGATAAAGGTTTTTTCAAACTGGACGTAATTGTTGTTATTGTAATTTTTGGCTCCCAAGCTGGCTTTCTCTCCACTATACCTTACTGACTTTCAGTTATTAAGTTAGTTGTTAAAATTGTAATAATTATCATTGTTATTAATAATCAGTAAGTTCATGGCTGCTCTTTTCTGAAAGACAATTCTGATCTCTCTCTCCCCTCCCCTCCCCTCCCCCCTCCCCTCCCCTTCCCCTCCCCTCTCCCTCCCCTCTCCCCTCCCCTCTCCCCTCCCCTCCCCTCTCCCCTCCCCTCTCCTCTCCTCTCCCCTCTCCTCTCCTCTCCCCTCCTCTCCTCTCCTCTCCTCTCCTCTCCTCTCCTCTCCCCTCTCCTCTCCTCTCCCTCCTCTCCTCTCCTCTCCTCTCCTCTCCTCTCCTCTCCTCTCCTCTCCTCTCCTCTCCTATCCTCTCTCCTCTCTCTCCTCTCTCTCCTCTCCTCTCCTGTCCTTTCTTCATCTCTCCTCTCCTCTCTTCTCTTCTCTTCTCTTCTCTTCTCTTCTCTTCTCTTCTCTTCTCTTCTCTTCTCTTCTCTTCTCTTCTCTTCTCTTCTCTTCTCTTCTCTCTCATTCTCTCAACTAAGCATTTTGATAGGAGGGAAAAGTGAAAGCCCACCCCCTCCTCCTACCCTCCAACCCTCTTGATCCTTTTCCAATCAGGGGACTACCCAGGGATGGCTGAGGTCATCCCACTTAGAGACTGAATGCTACCAACTGAATAGCCTGTCTCTGTCTTCTCCTCCAGCCACATCAACAGGAAAACACAATATGAAAACCCAGTCTTGGAAGCCAAAAGGAAGAAGCAGCTTGAACAGCAGCAGCAGCAGCAGCAGCAGCAGCAACAGCAGCAGCAGCAGCAGCAGCAGCAGCAGCAGCAGCAACAGCCAGAAGGTTGGCAGTCATTGGGAGCCTTCTGCTGGGGATGTCTGCTAACAGAGCAGTCCATCTCTGGAACTGGACACCCCCATGAGGCCAGAGGTGTCCTTTGGGAAGGCATCCCTTTCCAGGCCCTTAATGTTTCTTAGGAATGATCATCAGAGGTTTCGATAAGGCGAAAGTGGCACCTTCCCTATCAACCTTCTGCAACCTCAGAGCCCTTAAGAGTAAAAAGATCCGTTCCTTTGATCCCAGTCCCTGTGCCCTGCTAAATCTAGATCTGTTTTGGAATGGTTGGCTTTCCATTTTTACTCTAAGAGGACTAATTTGTTATAAACCAAATTTTTGAATTTCCACTTTTCTATGTTTGAGAGCCAAAAAAAAGCTCTTTTCTGTTTTTGAAATGGGCATAGAACCAATTGAAAAGACAGTCACTATTACTCGTGTGGCCTCTGGGGAGTTATTTAACTTGCGGGGTGGCCTTCAGTGTCACATTCTGTAAAATGAAGGAGGTGGAAGAGGTAGCTTCTGTGATCTCTTGCAGCCCTAAGAGGAAATTCAGTATCTGATGTATTTTTTTTTAACATAGACATTTGGATTTTTTTGGATTGGACCTTTAAGTGTATTTGCATGGAATATTTTTGTTGAGGAAGTTCCTTTTACCAGTGCAAACCAGCACCTTCTCCACATCTTTAAGTCTTAGAGAGTTAAGCCATTTGGCCATGTTCTCCTAGGGATTATGTGGATATCAGGGGCAGGACTGGAATCTAGGTCTTCCAAATTCCAAGGCCAGGTCTCTATTCTCTGCCTCATACTGAATATAGATATAAGACAAACAAAATGTAAAACATGGTAGTAGATGGCCAAGGAGTGGGACATGGCAGACATCTTCTGATGATCTCCAGTGTGTAAATGTTTGGGTTATGACAACATGGCATCAGGAAGACCCAGATATAAGTCCTGCCTCCGACGTGGATTGCTTGTGCGACTCTTGGGAAGTCTTTTTCCATCTCCAGATCTAGGATGCTGTGATTTAACCTCTAAGTAAATCAGACAACTCTCTAAGATTTTGAATTATTGGCAAGTTGTTGATCTGTATTGAGGGGAAGCTTACCTGTCCCAGTGAAGTCAAAGCTCCATGTCTTCCCCCTTCCCCACCCACCCGCCCAATGAAGGTTATGCAATTTTTTAAAATTCTCTTTTATTGTTTAACAGCTGGAACAGGTCTATTGTCTTCCTTGGTCTTCTCTTTTTTACCTCAAAGTGATGGAAATCAGAAATGTCCCAAGTGAAGGCTAAGGAACAATAGGGTGCTATTAAATGCATTCGACCGAAATAGAAGGTGACTCTGGGGAAAGTTTCCAGGGTCACTCACTGGGAGGTATCTTAGGGCCTTCTGCTTGAAGAAGACCAAACTTAGTGGTTCAGTAGCCTTGGCAAAGCATCTCTTTTTGATAGTACTTAGAATGACATTAAATGGCACCTATTAACTCATGAAATCCAGGCATATGCCTATGGGACACTTGTTAGTAATTCAACTGAATATGCACCGGATGGGGAAGATTCCCTTGGATTTGTCTAAAAGAGAGAAGTCTTTTTCTTGTAGAACTCATCCTGAGCTCCTTGGACCTGGTTCTCATGGTGGAGTGTACCTCTGTGCTCAGATGTTTTATTCAGTCCCATTTATGGTTTCCTGGCCAGAGGGAAAATGTGTTTTTCATTAGTCGTATTACACATAATTTCCCAAGAGCATATGGGCAGAAACCCCTTCAGTTTTTGTGTGGTACAGGGGAAAGTGCATTGGGGTTGAAATCAGAAGACGTGGATTCAAATGCTGCATCTGCTACTCACTAGTCCATGTGACCTTGGGCAAGTCACTTACAGTCTCTGGGCATCAGTTTCCTCTTTTGTAAAATAAGTAGCTTGGACTAGATGACCTTAGAAGTTCCTTGCCACTTTAAAAACTTTGAATAATTGTATAAAGTTTTTTTTTTTCACCCCGCAATCCTTGCTGTGGGCTACTAGACTTTTTTTTGTTTATTTTGTTTTGGAGGGCATGCTTATTTTTAATATTAATTATGAATCAGGGAACTCACTGAGAGTTCCTTATGAAATCACAGATCTAGACTCCCCTACCATCCCCTCTCCCCATCAAAAAAATATAAGACCAAGAGATTTTTGAGCATGTGAGGCACCCCTTTTGAGTACAAAGATTGACCACATTCCTTGCTTTTTTTTTTCCCTAGAATGGGCAGAAGACCATTCATCCCTCGCTGCTCCTGTTGTTCCAAACCGTCCACCAAATAGCCAGGAGCCTGTTAGAGAACTTCCACTTCAGGGTAATGTCTTCTATCGTCACCTGCTAACTTTAGCCCTGTCATTGACATAGTTATGGAGTGATAATCTTGGCACTCTCAGATATTTAAGGGATTCTCTAGGCTTTCCAACCTATCCTTATGCACCTTCTCTCATTTGAGCCTGCCCCCAGCCCTATGAGATGAGTGCTAGAGATATTAAACCCATTTTACAGATGAGGAAACTGAGTATCACAAAAGTTAAAATGATTTGCAAAACTAATAAATGTCAGAGGTGGGATTTGAACCCAAGTCTCCCCAAATCCAGCACTCTCTCCACTGTACCACACTGCCCCCCAGGGGGAAGTGTGTGTACATGTATCATGCATGTATGTGTGATGTATGTATGTATGTATAGTATATATGTGTGCATAGTGTGTGTATATATATTTATACACACACACACACACACACATATACACACTTTTTATAACTCCAAAGTCATTTCTTTTACTGTGGGAAAATATGAAAACATGAAAGAGAGTCCAAAATTTCTGCTAATTGGGCTCATAGTTGGGGGTGCTGAGAGCTGTTAGAGACATGAATAAATTTATTCATGTCTAAAATTGGTGACTATTAATAACATTTTGGAGGTGGGATATGCTGCCAGATATTATGGAGTATTTTATTAAGTAGAACTCCTTCAGACCTCCAGAAGAGCTGCATTCACTGGCGTGAAGATTTCATTCAAAAGAAGTTTGCATTAAACTACTTTGTATTAATTTTTATTTAGTTACTTTACGTTATATATGTACACACACATGTATATAATTATATATGTGTGTATGTGTGTGTATATGTATATATGTATTGTGCATATAGACACACATAACTATGTACATATAGGTATTGTCTATATGTGTGCATGTATATGTATATATGTGTCTATATGTATATACACACACACTCATTTATTTCTTTATGTGAAAGTGAGGGCTTTCTATAGGAGATAGGTTTTTTCAAGACATTAGCCCACATCATCCCATGGACTGAATTTTTTTTTTCCTTGAAGAGAAAATAGCTTAGTATTCTTGCCTCCCAAGTTCTGGTCCCCAGAACAGCTGCTATCCGTGCCACAATTTCAAAATGCATGCTTTTAAAAAAAATTTTTTCCCCAAATGTGTCTCACTTGCATTCATTCACAAATAGGCACCTGAAAAGTGTCTTACTTTGAAAATTAGGTGCTTTAGAAACCTGCTATTTCCAGCCCTCATTACTTCTCAAAATAGGAAGCAGCGATTCCTAAGAACAAAGGAGGAGCTGTCCAAGCAGCTCACCCTGGGAGCAGAAAGAGGGGGATGAGAGCTCAGAAGTAATTGTGATCACCATTGATGTAGCTAGGAAAAGGGCTGTGAAATAAGGTCCAATAGAAGGTTGTCAAAGTTGCCTCCTTTCCTATCACTTTTTTTCCTTTCAAAATAGTTGAATATCATTGAAGAAGTGATACTATTGGAAGTGTAAGTTAGACTCAGTGTCCACTGAGGTTTCTTCCAACTGAAATTCTCTTGAGAAAGTGTGGTATAGTGGGAAAAGTTCTGCCTTTGGAAGTCAGAGGACCTGAGTTCAAATGTTGCTTTTTTTCCCAATCTATTCATGAAGGGCAGCTAGGTGGTTCAGTGGATAGAGGTCTGGTCTTGGAGTCAGGAGGATCTGAGTTCAAATCCGACCTCAGACACTAGCTGTGTGGCCCTGGGCAAGTCACTTAATTCAGATTGCCTCACCAAAAAGCTAATCTATTCACGTGACCCTGAGCAAGTCAAAATCTCGGATCTTCATTTTTTTCCCTTGTATAATGAGAGCATTGGACTGTTTGGCCTCCTAGGTACCTTTCATCTCTGCATCTGAGATTGGATGTGGATATAAAATAAAGGAAGAGGAGGATCACTTGTGCTGAAAAGTATGTGGTCCCTAAGAGTGGGGAAATGGGTTAGAGAACTGACCAAGTGCTTTCTGACCCCAATTTTATTAATTCTACAACCTGATGGTTCTTTTATGTTGTCTGGATTATGTCATTCATGACCTCTTCCCATGAAGTTCCCTGGTACTTAGGAAACAGAATTATTTCACATCAGGAGGCAAGAGGTCTAGGTACCAGGGCCAGCTCCACCATTTGCCTGTAGCAAGCAGGCCACTAAATCTCTGTGAAAATCAGTGTACTTGTCTAGAAAGTGGAGATGGTAATGTCTTGTGCGCCCAGCTCACAGACTGTTGCACAGCTGATGTGATGATAATAGAATAATGTTCAGTTATTTTTCAGTTGTGTCCAACTCTTCATGACTTCATTTGGGGTTTTCTTGGCAAAGATACTGGAGTGGTTTGCCATTTTCTTCTCTAGCTCATTTTACATGTGAGTAAACTGAGGTAAACAGGATTAAGTGACTTGTCCAGGGTCATGTAGCTAGTAAGTGTCTGAGGGCAAATTTGAATTTAAGAAGATGAGTCTTTCTGCTTCCAGGCCCTGCACTCTATCCACTGTGCCACATACTGTCAACAGTCATCACTGTCAACAATAATAGCTGACATTTATATAGCACCTACTATGTCCCGGGCACTAAGCTAACCACTTAACAATTATTATCTCATTCGGTCTTCACAACTGCCCTGGCAAGTGGGTACTATGAGGAAACTGAAGAAAACAGGTTAAATGATTTGTCCAAGATCACACAGCTAGTAAGTGTCTGAAGCTGAATTTCAACTCAGGTCTTCCTAACAGTGGTCCCAGTGGTCTATCCACTGTGCCACCTAGCTGCCCTATATTCTGCCTCCATCTAAGCCTAATTCTATCTGTAACCATCAGTTCATGTGCTGTGAATACCTTGAAGGTTGGGGCTGTCTTTTGCCTTTTTTTTCCCTTAAATATCCACCTGTGCCTGACACATAGTAGGAACTTTATAAATGCTTGTTGGCTGACTGCTATAAAGTACAGAGACTGATTTTTGCATGTGTGATTTTTACAATTATTCCCATTACCTTATATTATCACTAATAACAATAGCAACAACGATAAATAATAATAATTCTTTAATGCAGAGACTCTTAACTTAAGGTCCATGAGTAGATTTTAGAAGGGCCTATGAACTTGGAAAGAAAAATAAAGCTTGATTTTCTTTAATCTTTGGTTTCCTCTGTGTGTGTGTGTGTGTGTGTGTGTGTGTGCGCGCGCACGCGCTCCTATGTATTTTATATGCGTGTGTGTGTATATTTGTGTATATATATATACATATATATTCTTTGTAATCTATATATTTTCATTTTAAAATGTTATTCTGAGAAGGGGTCCATAGTCTTTACCAGACTACCCAAGGGGTCCAGGATATAAAAAAGAGTTAAGGACCTTTTTTCCAGAGGCAATGTAGCCTGGTCGATAGAGTCAGCCTTGGAGACAGAAGAAAATGCATTCACGTCCCACTTCTGCCACATTCTAGCTGTGTGACCTTGGACAAGTCACTTAAATTTTCAGCATCCCCCATGGTGTTTATTGTTATTGGGTTGCTAGCTCGTTTCAGTGGATGAATGAAATCAAAAGCCTAAGCCCATGTCTAAAAACAAACAACCACTACAAAAAGTTGTTCTTAATGGTTTTCATTTAGTTTGCTTCAATCTTGTTTAGTATGAGAAAAGGCAAATTAATGGGTCACTTAGATGTTTCTGATCTCTATATAGACTATACAACTATATGTGTGCCCAAAGATAAACCACTTCTCTTCTTTCTCAACATACCCATCTAACAATAGGGTTAAACTAATTCCTACTACTTGCTCCCTGTTTGATATCAGGCAATACTGCTCTCCAAGCCTCAGTTGCCTCATCAGTAAAATGGGAGAAGGGGACGTTAGACTAGGTGACCTTTGTGAAAACTTCTCCCTCCAAATCTATGATTCTAGACGTTAAATATTCAAGAATAAATAACATCCCTAGAGTATGTGCGAATCCCTTTGGGGGACTCCCATCTTCATATCTTTATATTTGAATGCCAGTGAGTGCATTTGTGAAGTCCCCGGCATCTACAGCAGGAAACATTTAGACGGTCTGTGAGCCAGGCTTCCTTATTGAATAGCCCTAATAAGATAATAACTGTTTTTTTAAGATACGGCTTCAGGTTCAGTTCATCATGAAGGACCTCTGCATTTCATTGCATAGATAGATAGATAGATAGATAGATAGATAGATAGATAGATAGATAAGCACTCATATTTAAATGAGCATCACAAATCTTGTATCAAATCTTTGATATGTGTGTGTATGTGTGTGTACCTGTTTGTGCATATATAATTTGACTAGGGTCTCTCAATGACCACATCTCAAAGCTGACCATGAGAACCTCCTTCTGTTTGCTCACTTGCTCTTCTGCGCCCTCTAGTGTACACACTGAGGCTTTGACAATCTTCACCGACCTGGACACCATAAATCTATCTGTCGGACACATTTCTTATCCAAAAGATTAATGAAGCCTACAGCCCTCTCCCACGAGGATTTGCAATTTAGGCTAAACTCCAGAGAATTCAGAGTAACTACCTACCATCTTGTTAGTTATACTAGAGAAAATATTAATCATTTGTGTTTTTTATGTGTATCTGTGTGTGTGTATATATGTGTGTATATATATACATATATATATATAAAATATATATATGTGTGTGTATATGTATATATATATATACACATACACACACACACATACACACGCACACAAATGTAAAGCATATGCTTTTAAGTGTGTCTTTAAGGTTATGTGTGTTTGTATGTGAGAGAAAGGGAGAGACAAACATTTTCATTTACGAAAAATTAGGGTGTTTGCCTTTCTTTAGTATCAAAGAGATTTAAATATGAATTTTTTTTTTGCTAAACTTTTGGTTTTATTGGAAGGGAGGATAAGCATTTATTAAGCACCTACTGTGTTCCAGGCAACGTGCTAAGTGCTTTTACAAATATTATCTCATTTGATCCTTACAACAGCTTACCTGGGATGTAGGTGTTGTTATTAT